CTGCCAGACGTGCCACAGGCTACACAGGAAGTGTTTACCTGAGCCCTCACAAAACGTTGAAAATTAATCCTGTTTTAGATTCACTATAATCCCCTAAAACCCCATTTTTACCTCACTTTGACTTCTAGCATATGACTTCAATTGTAACAAGTCTATATTTTCAGACCTTTGAGTTGTTTTAAAAAGCTAATGACAAGTTAATTAATTTTCAAGCTAGCCAAAATAATTAATATTTTGCCCAAATCACTGGGCAGGAATGTCAAATGAGACAAATATGACAACATAAAAAGAAGCAAATGTTAAAGATTTACAATAGTCAGATCTGAACATTTGAAACGATTTTTAAAATGTTGAGAAAGACTATGGAGTTTGCATGTTTGAAGTRATTAATGCACAAAATCAAGCACTGAAAGAGCAGTGCATTATTAAAAGGTGAAAAAAGGATCTTTAGTTAACTGTTATTTAAACAAAAAAGGGTATATCCTCTTTAGTCCCAAGTTTTTGCTTTGTGCACGTTTTTTTTTTTTAATTTCCTCTAGCTATTTGTCTAAAAAAGTGCTCTCCTGTCTCCTACATTCACAGGGCACGAGCAGATCAAAATATTAGAACACAACAAAGCAGTYCTTTATTATTTTAAAGTTTTTTGATATCTTATTAATAAGTCAGTTGTTGCAACGTGTGTCCTTTGCAGCTCGTTTCAGAGGTTTGCTGCTAACAAAGCAACATTCATGAAACTTTGCCAAGTGAAAATTACGTCACAAAGGAAATGAAAATAAATCATTTGCTATATGCTCATGTATTTACATTTTTATGACCTTGAGGTTTGAACAGTTTTAATAAAAAAAAAGATAAGTTGCAAAATGAACAGTTAGAACAGCAGTTCAACTCTCTAACATTTGACCTTGATACTTTCAAGGATGCGTGAGATGATAAAACCTGTTGGGTTAGTGAAGTGGGCTACAAAATGTCATTAAGTGTAATTACACAACTGTTGTTCTGATTAACTAGTAAACATGTTCAAGTTTCCAATTGTGGTTTCAAGTGATGATGTAAAAAGATGCTATTGTTGGGGGCGTTGGAAAAATAGTTTGTTTCTGTTGAAACAAAGAGCTCAAATGACCTTTAGTTGTGTGGTGAAAGGTACACTCTCACTCCGACTCATAGTCTTTCAATTAGGTCTTTATTGATTCTTTACTTTAGGCAGCCCTGCAAGGAGAATCTCTCTGAGATTTTGTCATCTTGTTCTATTTCCGACAAATCTAGTGACATAATAGTGCTAAAAATGTGCTTTTATGTTAATAACTTCATATCTTTTTTGCCTTTTTAGTTCATAAATTGTTGCTTAGCTTAAATTACCTGCCCCAAACATAAGACATCATACTGGAAACTTGGCCACTGAGAAATGTTTTCATGTGTATGTGCTGAATCATAAACATTTTCCGCTTGAAGTTTTTGATGTTTCACAAATACACCAGCTTTAATGTGTGTCTGTATATTAAATGTGGGGATCATCATTATTCTCATTTTAGCCAAATTTTAACATATTGAGACATCTACAGCTGAGACTCAGTTGAAGCAGTGGCTCAAACAGCCACACCAAGGGGTGTGGAATTTAGAATTACAATTAAGTTAATAATTAACCTAACATGCATGTTTTTGGTCTGTGAGAGAAAACCGGAGTACCTAGAAAAAAGCCATGTGTGCACAGGGAGAACATATAAACCCCACACAGAAAGGCTGGAGGGAAAACCTGCAGCTTTGAGATGACAACTCTATGTTGTTGCTTGTTCATGAGAAGTTTGATAGCATCAATTTTGAGTCCCAAAAAAATCAGGAATCATACAATCAACTTGGCTTCTAGGGCATTTCATTTTACATTTAATCATCTGTATTTTGTTGAGCTTTCTCAGACTTGTGTGTTTGACGTTTGGTAAAAATGGATGAAATACATACATAAAATTGAAATGAAATATATAAATGCATTACAAACAGCAATCTGCAATTCATACAAAAGCAAAAAGTGTGCATCGGGGTACTTCATTCATTATCTCATGACAGAGATATAAAATAATTGAAAGAACTTGTTAGATCCAGGGTTTTTAAGAAACATGAATAAAAAAATACGGTTTTCTAACCCTTGTGATACAAAATAAACACAATTCAACCTGGAAAGACTCACACAGAGAATGACAGCAGATAAAGAGTTTTATTAACAAAATTAATTTGATTTGGCGCTCGGGCCCCGGCAGAAGACATGGGTGCTGCACACTACTGTGAGCTAGTGATCAGCTTGATTTTAGGATTATTGTCTTCCCCCCGGGGTCCGGACACTGGTGGTGGTAGGGAGGCCGGAGAGTGGAGGGAGCCTAAAAGAGCTGGAGGTTGAAGGTGGAGGTGGGTCGAACTCGTCTGAGGAGCGAGCAACACTGAATGTTGGCTTCATAACCTGGATCTGGGCTAGATGGGGGTACGTCAGGARGAGGAACTGATGATTAACTGCAGCTGGGCGTGAGGTGCAGTGACTGGATGGAGCAGGTGAGGTGAAAGGAGTCTTCCAGTCTGAATTCATAATGCATAAGCTTCATTTTACAACAATATAATTTGAATCTGTGATGGACTTGCGACCTGTCCAGGGTGTACCCCGCCCCTCGCACTGTGACTGCTGGATATGGGAACCAGAGAGCCCCGTGACCCTGAAAGGAAGAAGTGGGAATACTTGATGGATGTATGATTAGAATCTGGTCAGTTTTGACCTGAAGGAAGCAGACAATGTTGATTTAAAAAAATGTTTCCATGATTTGCAAAGTGTTTCTTTGCTTTTCCAGTCATTACACAAAACTACTCCAATCACACAGCTAATTATCCCAGAGTTGGATAATGTTTTGCTTTGTTTTTGTTTGTTTCTTCCATATTAAATGCTAAAAATAGAAACTGGATATCCAAGCTACAGCAGCTTGTCTGAACAGATCAGAGTTTATTTGGAGCCAGACTACAGTAAGCACAATAAACAGCAAAGGAAACAGGTTTAATTTGCATTAAAGTGACAAGTAACAAGTGGAACGAATGCAGCATGTGTTCAAACACATAGGAAATGATCCAAACAAACCCAGTTAACACTAGCAGTTCTTGTGTATTGTTACCCGCTTCGGATGTTATCATCCATTAAATGCATGTTATTAGCCATTATCAGTTCCTTAGAATGGCTTCAGACTATCTGGTTAGTATGAGGCATAAAGCCACTAAGGTTTTTTATGCAATCTGGTTAATATGAGGCATAAAACCACTAAGGTTTTTTATGCAATCTGGTTAATATGAGGCATAAAGCCACTAAGGTTTTTTATGCAATCTGGTTAATATGAGGCATAAAGCCATAAGGTTAATTTTAGAGAAAATGACATGGGCTATGATAAAGTAGACCGGACTCCGAGGGTAGCAGATTGTTGCATTCCAACGTATATGGCACTGGTAACCCACTAGGGGGCACTATCGGGACAGTCTGAAGCCATTCTATGGGACTGATAACCYCTAATAACGTCCATTTAATGGATGATATCATCCGAACCGGCTGGTATTGTCAGCTTGATACTATCTTTAAAATGGCTCAAGACAGCAGAAGCACAGCAGATCAAGCAAAACAAAGAAAACTAAATTGAAGAATATGAACAAACACAGAATTATGCAAAATTTGATAGTGCTTGTTTTTTTTGTTTGTTTGTTTGTTTGTTTTGTTTTGTTTTGTTTTAATTTTTTCACATTTATTGCTTTTGCAAAGCTCATAAATAACACGAGTTGGAATATAAAAAGTTAAAAACAAACAAAAACAAAAGTAGAAACAAGTATGCAAACAGGGTGGTGATGATCTTTTTTAAGGTTTAAATGACAAAATATCTCCTTTTCCCAGATGAGTTTAGTTGGTTAGTTTGGCTAAAAGTGTCTGGAAGAAACAGCAGCATTTGTCTTTAGGTCTGTGGTTTAACAGATTAAAAGTCACCAAGGCCTTTTTGTGCTTTTGTTTTTGCTTTAGTAATATGATCAGCATTGGGAAATCAATAATGTGAAATATTTTACACACAAAAATAATAATAATAATAAAAAGAAACATACCAGTGTCTACAAAACAGTTCTACTAGGCCTGAGTATAGATGCATGGCACAACAGAAAATGACAAATGAAAGCCACCTTTAACACCCAAACAGAAAAGAACAAGGTGACAGTGGGTTGAAGAACAGCAGTCATGGACCATGTGTGACT